TTTTTTTTTTTCTTACTGAAACCGATCAGCTTAATGATGCAGATTTAAAGACGTCTTGTCCCCACCAGCTGAATTCGGAGGATAGCTTTGTTCCATAACGGCAGCAACTCGACTACAGTGGGTTCATACAGTGGCCGCTGGCGCAGTTTGTGGATTTGGTGTCTTACTGCTGCAAATACCATTTCATGGGAAGTAGCTTTGTGAAGTGTTGTTACATGCTCTCACTGTGTATCCGTGTATGTCTACATTGGGCGTCACGTGTTAGTGTCAGCTGCCATGTTCCTGACTACAAGCAGCCCTCTGTGTGTTGTGTCTTCCTGTGTCTGGTTACACTTGGTAAGAAGATACCGGGATGTAAACAGAAGTTTGAGCATGCGCATCGATTAAATCCTGCTAATTTCCCAACAACACTACATGGACCCTCCTGATAGCAGGCCCCACATTTGATGACCCAACAGCTAATTATCAACGACTGACTCTGCAGTTTAAAGCAGCTGTTAGCAAAGCTGTGATAAACAGCATTCAGCAGCAGGCAGACAAAGTTAACGACTAGCTGATGAACATTGTTGAGCATGAAGCAGCTTAAGAACCAGATATCTTTCTTCTTATGGAAACAAAAAAGCAGAGCTAACCAGGAGAGGGAATGTCCGACTAACGTGCATCAGATGGCCAGAAACAAGACTCCAAATAAATGCTAATGTTGCATAAAAAAAAAAATCAATAAATGGTGCTTTAATGATAGCTCCATTCTGTGTGGGTTCCAGGGTCCTGGCACTGCCACAATCAAACACAATGCAGCTGTTATTAATGTTAGGAGCCACACCTGTGCTTGACAAGTCCACATGTCCTCTGTAAGAAAGATATTCACAAACTGACACGTCATTGATCAAAGAGTTGAGACAAACATATTTTACAGGGGTTTTTGTGGGGTTTTCTTTACAGTTAATCATTATAGTCATTATTAACACAATCTGCATCACCATCTGCTAAACTGTGATATTTTACTCCGCCAACTCAGCGTGTTGTCAACAAAAGAACCTGCTCTGCAAACAATGAAATCATAAAATTGTGTATTCAAATGTCTCTCTTTGACGCGGCTTTTATTGCACTCCATTTGTGCAAATCAGCCGACATATACACCACCGCTGAAGATAAGCTGTGATGAGACAACGACATCGGGGCTACAGAGATGCATCCTCGGGCTCTTGTGTCAATCTGTTCAGAGGGGAAATGTTGAGGACCTCTGCCTGAAAAAAAACCTAAACATCCAACGCGTAGATCCACAAGTCACATTGCGTCAGTCAGCCTCGACTCAACTGTAGCCGGGTTTCCTCCCCTTTGGCACCTGCTGTCATCCGGGTGATAAGATGAAAGACAACTCGCATCTTAAAGACCGAGCCTCAGCCAAATGTGATGATGAATACTGATTTTATACACTCCTTAGGAAATGGACAGAAATGTAGCCGAGAGGGACCTGTCATGACCCGTCAAGACTTAAGAATGTGGCGCCACATCCACACCATCAGATTATGATAATCAACCTCTTGTTCACTAGCTGCAGTCTATCACCTACTGAAGGCTCATTTACATACAGCGTGAGTTTGCAGGCGACTCGTGCCGTCTTTCAGAGTCAATAAATACATATTGATAAAGGTCATTTTCTTGACAGGAACACAGCCATTTAGGACCAAATACCATCTTTGAAATTCCAATCTGTATAATCCCCAGTAAATTCACTTACACTATTGTTGATATGGTGAAAAAAAAGTGATGAAATTGAAATCTAGTTAATCCTACTATGATCTTTCAATAGAAAAAAAGCCTTAGTCGTGGTTACAGGATTGCTAATATAGCCGGGATGGAAAGCAGCTTTTAGGAGATTTCAGGAGGAGATTTGAACTCTGGTTCACTGTCAGACTGGAAGGTAGATTTTTATATCTCACAGAAGAGGTTGTTTTAAATGTCTTTCATCTTTCTGAAGATGAAGCTCACTCTGAGAGAAGAATCTGGGGGTTAGAGAATATACTCATCTGAAGATTATGAAAAAAGAGAGAGCAACTGCAGCGGAAAAATCTGATTTTAAATATTGAAACAGCTTGCCCTGACCTCAGAACTGACAGATAACTTCTTTGATAACTTTCATGTTCAAGTGGGTATTTTGATGTTCATCTAGTGGAACAAAATATTCTTAAATTTGGCCATGGTCTTAAAGAAAAATGTAAATGTTTCATGGCATTGATAACACGTGTCCAACAGAATCAGCAGGAGGGATTAAGGCTGTTAATTGCATTGGAAGCACAAAGTGACATTCTCCCCTCGCCCGCCCGCCTGCCCATTACAATGCAAAACATTTTTGAATGCTAAGTTTCCCAAATGCGTCATGAACCAGACTTAATGGAATTCTTCCTTCATTTATTCAAGGTCAAAGCTCATCACTTCCACAAGTCCTTTGCATTGTAAATCCTCTTCTCAACGTGTCTGTAGGGGAATTTAAATAGTTGAAAATGTCCTGTAGTAGTCATCTAAATATCAGTATACTGTCAGTGAATAGTGAGTCTGTGTTTGGAAAAGAGAACAGCATGGACAAAGTCAACAACATACAACCTGCTATATTAGAAACATTTCCTTTTTTTCTGCTGAAAATGTCTAATAAACTGCAGCTGAGATGTCTTTTTTCCCCCACTGAAGCAGGTTATGAACTCAAGTTACTCCATTAGTGAGCGAGCCTCAGTGTTCGCAGCTAGTTATGTGAGATTATTATCAGATACAGCACCAAACGCATCAGGAATACTGGCATTCATCCAAGTCCTGACAAACACATTTCTGTCCATTGAGAGCACAATGCAGTGTGGCGTGGCAATGCTTTACCGCTCCATCCAAACAACACACACACACACACACACAATGATTGATGGGGATCAACAAGACTGTTCAAATCTCATGCCAGGTGAAAGGTCACAGTTTGTTGGACCAACAAATTTGTCCCAACAAAAGCGAGTAAACACGCAGCAAATCCAAATTCATTAACTGTTTCTACCGTGTGACGCTGAATGCATTTTGATTTAAGCAACACAACGGCAATTAGCTTTACATGAATGATTCGTTTCTCAAGACACTCTTGAGTGCCGCTTAGAGACAAACATGTAGATGGAGACTTTTTCAAATTCACAGTATCCGCGATACAAATTGAAACATAAAATCAATATTTCATTAGGAATTCATCTGCTCACACAGCAGAGAAGAGTTTTGAGCAACTCTGAAGATTATAGTCAGTTTCCTTAAAAACTAGCCATCTGTGGTGATTTCTTGCAGGCTTGATTAAAGATACAGGGCAGATTAGAAATGGTATTTCTGGGAGTGGATCGACTCAATCGAGAGATAAGTAACTTAGGTGTTACTCCATGCACCTGCACTTGAAGATACGGGATATAGGACACAGACGCAGTGAGAATAATGAAACGTCTTAAAATAAGAGTGGGAAGTGAAACAAACAAGTGATATTGCAGCGCTGCCTGTCCCCAGGCTGCATCTGTGTTATTCTTTCTCTTTTTGCCCAGTGTATTCTTCTTTAAATGAAATAATGGGCAATCCAGACTAAGCCAAGGAGAGCTTTAGGTCTCAATTTCACTCGTAAAAACTTCTAAAAGTAACTAAACAGTCTGATTAAACTCAAACTTATATCCCTGCATTTGATTGGAGTACGAGTGGAGATCACAGATTGCATGACAGGAAAATGTTTGGAGCAATGACATAACACACTTACAGTGATATCTTTAATCACTTTCTCATTCGATAGATTTCCTGACGCTGATTAAATTGGAGCACTAATTTAAGTTGCTCTGTGACTACATAGCTTCTCTGCTTTAGGATAAGTGCAATAAGGTCATCTTTTCCATTAAAAGCCCACTTATACTCCCTGTGTAAGTGTCACTTTTTAAAGATATTACATCTCACAGTGTACATTATAATGCAGCTGCAGTGCTTGGGTGTGCTCAGATCTTCATGAGGATATATAGTCTGATGTCACCGAGATCCAGGTCTCTGCTTTAACTAATATACTTAAAAACTACTGTGGGGCCAATCTTTGTTACTGCTTACGCGTTTAAATGAGCAGTTAGGAGTTTAGTGAACTTCATTCACACTGAATGGTGAATGAAGAGTTGTGCGTGATTGGATGCGTGGCCAACTGGAGTGTTGATGAATAAATCAAAGCACACAGTGGGACTGCTCGGTGATAACGCGGCACCTTTTCTGAATGATCTCTAAAAAAACAATCTTTGTAGAAGAATCGGTTTTATTTAGACATTTGAGACGCACAACAAATAAATTGTTTCCACCGACTGCTGAGAAATAACTGAAAGAGATCACTCGGAGCAGCACTGATGAATATTTGAATGAGGTGGGAAGAATAATGACAACAGACAGCACGGTGACTCCAGCCTCATAACAAAGCAATAATCAGTTAAGAACTTCGATTCGTTATTAAAGCGTCTGTCAGATTTGCAAAAACAAAATGCTTGTGTGTGTGTGCTTAAACCATCAGTTTGACCTCAGTACAACCCCTCATGGACACAATCTCCCCTCGACATACAGGGAGACGCAACACCTAACTAAAATGATGTCTTAAGACATCAAAAAGAGTAAAGGAAAAAACGGAAATCTTTGCAGCGTTTCACCTTAGGACCTTTCCCTTATCACAAGTTTAATGCACAATTTGGTCTCAGCAGAACACACACATCAACCACAGCACACAATACAACACCAACAACAACATCGTCTGTACTGACAACACTTACGAAATAACAACCACAACAATAACACTATATCAGACTACCAGATGCATCAAAGCCAGGCATGTGTTTCAAATAAATTGCTCTACCGCTACAATAAAACTCAAAGCTCCATCTGACCATAAAAGACAGGGACAGGCTGCCAGGTCTGGCAGGAGAATACAGCACACTGTGCAGAATTACAACATGTTAAGATAATAGAGCACTTACTGTGGTGAAGTTCACCGGGTAGCAATCCTCTCCTCGAAAGGTGCACTGCAGTAGCATCTCACCGATGTCATGACCTGTGCGGTTATAGAAATCAGTCATGTTGAACAGCTTTGGCTTGAAGTTCTGGAAGTTTGCCTTATCCTTTAGGGCAGCGAGAACCTCGGGCTCAGCCAAGTGCGGGTTGGCTATTTGGTAGTTATTGTTAAGGAGGGCCAGAAGCTCGCCCACGTGATACAGGTCATTTCTGGTGATTTGGGAGAAGCGGAACTCATTGAGGTTACAGAAGGTAACCGCTGGGAAGGTGAGGTTGGTCGCCGCCACCTCGTCCAGCTTGGTGACGTGGGGGTACTCCAGGTAATACGACACGCGATCCATGCAGACCAGCATCAATAAGCTCAGCGAACCGAGGAAGGAGAGGCTCCAAAGAAACCGACGGAACGTCATGTGCCCATAGGAGAATATGTGACTCATGCCATGTAGGGTGGATCTGTTAGCGAACGCTTGCAGGTCGGAGGGCCTGGTGCTCCCAATGCTTTCCTCTGAGCTCCCTTTCATGGCTGTAGAGTGATGCTCAACACTGTCTGCCCAAGAACTTCAGGTTAAACGACTTCGCTTAGCAACAGCAGTAGCAGAATCCAACCAGCAGTGTTTGGTTTTGGCACACTGCTCCTTTTATTCCCTCAAGAAGTGGTAATTGTCCCAATAAATAGCCACCTGAAAATGGTTTGTCAGTCTCTGTAACAGTTTTCTTTTCATCACAATTCAGCACCCAGTGGTTGTCAGCTGTTCCTGTAGTCCCAGGTCCCCCCCACCCCTCTGTTTCTGGCTGCAATTTTATTATCTCCAAAAGCTGTCTCGCTCTCTCACTCCCCGCTCAGCTGTCCTTTGTAGCGCCACCAAATACAATGACAGCACCAGAAAAACACCCACTTCTACCAAAACGCAAAGCCTCCTGATTCCTGAGTGGTGTGAAAAGGGACAAGAACACAAAAGGACAAGGAGAAAGAGAAGAACATAGGAGACGTTAGAGGATAGAGGCGGGAGATGAGGGGCTGCAATGAAAAGGTCTAGCGTTTGGAGAGAGGTGCTAATAAGCCTCAGCAGTCAATGGGACCCTTCCTCCTCTAACCGGAGAGAATGCCTCTACATCGCTGTGATAATGGGATGCAATGGTTTTGTGAATGGAAGTAATAAAGAGAGAAATGGCTCACTGGTCCCCTCGCTGCCACCTTCCTCTCGTGGCTTTTTTTTTTGGCTCCTCTTTTCTCCCCCAAAAATTAAAAAACGAAGGGGGTCAGAGACCTTCCGACCAGCACACCAATGTGCTTGACAACCAGCGTTCGCAGCTCCTGCGGGTTCCACTTCCTTATTTGCAAAAGATCCTCAGTTAAGGGGAAAAAAACACCTCTTGATGCTTTATGGCCACCCCCCCACCGGCATTACCACTAAAGGCGCTCCGACACCTCCAGCTTTAGTCCTGCTAACATACAGATTTATATTCTGCCGTGTGGAGCCTTTCACTCTCTTTTTCGCTTCCTCTCTCTCTCTCTCTCTCTCCCACCACTCCCCCATTTCTTGCTCTCTCTCTCCCCCGCTCTCTCTCTCTCTCTCAGTCTTCCTCTCTCTCCCTCATCCTCTTTAGTAGTCAGGATCCATCCCACTGCTGAATGGCTGCTTTGCCTGCATGTCTGTGCTCACAGGAGAAGTCTCTCAATCCGGACGGCACCTTCACCGTGTTATTATTCTCCAATCTGCTCCAACATACTTGCTCGCATACAACAATGCTACAGGTTGCACGTTTATTGCATATACACGTAAAATGTCCACATTTTAACCTTTTCATAACAATGCAAACAAGTAAAGCAGGCAAATATACGGCCGAAACCTGCTGGTTGAATATTTTCTTCCTTATGACATATAATTCATTAAAAATCGGATAAAAAGACCTTTCTGTATTGTCTTCTCTTGTGACAGCGTGGGTTACATATTTCCATTTTTCTTTGTAGTTCCAAGCGGTGGACTAACGCCAAAAGCATTTCACAGTCAGGCTGCAGCAGTCCAGCGATACGGTCCGCCGTGTGTGACGACATGAGAGTTTAAAGGTTGACCAGTGATGAAGTTGGTGATTTTGACTTTGGTTGATATTTATTTCACCACACCGTTCTAAAGAAACCCTTTCATTTCTCCTCGGACCGAACGAGATTATCACTCACTGGCCACCCGGGGATGTCTTATTATCATAACAAAAGGTGAGCTGCCGAGGATGTGACCGCAGCCCTCGAGGATTAAATCAATATTCTGCCCTGGTAACAACGCATAGTGACCATAGCAACTGTTACCCACAACACTACAGAGGTATGCAATTCAGATGAAGCTGCGAAAAAAACATTTCATCTGGAAACTTTTGAGAAATGCAACATCAACCCTACATTGTCACAGTCCAGATGCAATTTGTTTTTAAAGGAAATGCTCCAGAAGGAAATGCAACATGGAGCCTGAAGTGATGGAGTCTTTACACAGGACGGGGAACGACTTAGAATAAGTCTACCAAAACAACGTCGGACATATTGCAATTTCACAACTACAAGACAGAAGCCTTTTGTTTGCTTCTTCCCTCCAACAGCAGTACAAGCTAAAATCAAAACAGGATTGATGACACCTCAATAATCAATGCTATTTATTGTCAAAATGCCATCGACTGTATTAAGATGTTTGAATTTGACGCTTGACTTAAGGCTATAATTCCCTCCCGTACTAGCTAAGCAGCACTGCTTTGTATTCACAGTCATTACCGATAACGATTAATGTGCTAAAAAAACAGTGATGGATGATGCTGTGTCTACATAACATGTGAGACCTTGACTGAGTTTTAATATCTCTTCATTCTCAAACAGAGCAACGTAAGTCAAGGTTGACAAAACAATGACAGACTAAAGATACTGAATCACTGCCTGAAACACAGGCCAAGTATGGAATCGGCTGAATGGTTGCGGTACTTGACAGATACTACTGAGCTCCACAGTGAGAATTATAAACACACACATATAAGCTCAAGCAGTTAGCAAACTAACAGCAGTAACAGTGTCTAAGGGACCAGCGCCAAGTACCGGACCAATTAGTGGAGCGTGGTGGACGTGCAGTGGGTTGACTGGAACCTCAACTATTGTGTCCATGATATTAAGTGTCCTGTCAGAGCGAACCTCACCGTTTAGAATAGAAAAACAGGAAACCCTGAGACTGAAGTGATATTACATACATGGTTTCATAGCATCTGAACTATGATCTAAAAAACACATATATATTGTGATTAACAACAAAAATTGTCTTGTTAACATTTCCTCATATATTGATAAATATTCAATATCAGAATGGTGATTGTTGTCATCATTGTAGCATAAAACTGCATCTTTCCATATTCAGAGATAGAAGGGAAACACTCTTCACAGCAGGCTGTATTTATTTATTTTCTCTTAACACTTGGGTGACGTTGTCCTGTGTACAGATTAGCAAACTTTAATCCCAAATTCATACTAGCAGGCATGCCTTTTGTTGCAGATTGCAGGATGAAAGTGGTGGACTTTTCAACAGTAATTGGCTTTCAAGTGGATGGTAGAAGGCACAGCATAATGCAGGGAATATTAATAAGGAGGGGAAATATTTATGGCGCTGCTCAGCACTGCACTCTCTTTTTTGCCTTTGAATTTGACTTTAAACTATCAACTAATGTTCTGAAAGATTCCAGGCCTAAAACACCCCTGGCATATAAAGGCTGGTCTGTTTCTTCATAACAGACACAATGTCAAAACTGCATGTTAACTCGTCCAGGTATGTTTGTAAAAGCAACTAAATATTAAGATGCAACACTATTCATAGACTCGTTGACCCCTAATGCAGAGCGAGGAGTGATTCACAGTAATGTCTGATATGTGTGTGCCGACCTAAAGCTGAGCGTCCACAGTGATTTCTCTGGCAGAAAAGAGATAGCAGGGCGCTGGGGACTGAAAAGTTCAAAGATTTCAACTGGAAGTGCTCGGAGCGGTCGCACAAAAAAAAAGTCGGAGCGCTCTGAAAAAAAAAAAATCAGCTGGGTGCAGCACTTTTCCCTTAGGGGGGCACATGCAGCCGCATTAAGCTCTCTTTTTATTGGGAAAAACTGAAAAAAGACGCTATATAGACACTCCTGATACAGCACTAAACACAATGTGGCTCTTCGCTATAATCTATGCGCATCCTTTGCCCTATATATTTGATCATACTTTGTGTAAATGCTACAACTTTTCATTTACAGTTCCATGTTTAGTGTGATTCATGTGATTCATATATTAATCCAGAACAGCTTTATCTGGGATAATGCACATTAAAATGTTTAGCACTACCAGGAATGATCAAATGGAATCAAAAGCTACTGTATGGAACGCTAGCTGAGACCAGGATATCTGAGAATTGACTAGATTCTGTGTTATTCTAATTACTACAGTTCAGCAGGAAATCCTAAGACAAGCAAACCCTCCCTGACATGACGTAAAGCTAAAAGGATCAATTTCAGTAAGTCATTCTTTGTGATGCCCAAGTTATGCAGATTTGGCAAGCAGCTCGGAGGACAGATCACCCTGTTAGGAAGTGAACTCTGCAGTAAAGCAGTCGGCGTTTAAGAGCACATACATCAAGAAGTTAAGGAAGGAGCAGCAGAGATGCAACACTGCACCCAACAGAGCAGCGCCAGCACGGAGGAGCCAAAACATTACCTGAACTACAAATGAGACTGAAGTGTGATCCTTTAATACTATCCCAGCCTATAGTTTAGATGTGGACAGCCCATAGTAGAAATATCTTTTGCTTGCAATGGTAGACTAGTTGCATTGGGAAATAATGTTGCTGACCTTTGTTCCACCTGTACCACAGACATTTCTTTTATTGCTAAGATAAACTAAACGCTGCGTTGTCCTTAAGGGTTCCAACAGGGGGGGGCGAAATGATAAAGCTCTAACATTTGCTGGAGTGTGGGTATGTTCACAGAAACACAAACCGGTATCTTTGAATAAAAGATTGTGAAACAACATGTGCATTTGGCCACTACAGAGTAATCACTGCAGGTGCTAAGCTTTGTTTTATTAGCTACTAACCCTGCAGAAAATCGTAACCTTTGGCAATATGTTATGTTGATAAACGGCCAACACTTTTCTTTTTCTGTGACTGTCAGACGTGCACACACACTCACTCACCTATGTCTCTCCCCCCCCCCCTCCATCTTCTCTTCACAGATGAACGAACAAACCGCAGATATCTGCCTGACAAAAGAGAAAAAGACAGCCTTCACAATACAGTAAACCGATGGCTGCTATTCAATGTTATTGCTGCAAATGACCTCGCATAAATGCTGTGTAAGACAAGGGGCCTATTCGCATGTAATCTACTGCTCAAATATCTGCCGTGTGATGTGAAGGACAAAACTGAGAGGAGAAACAGTCCAAGACCCGAGATACAAGAATGGCAATGTGCTATGAAGTGATTTTGGCAGAAATACAAACTCAAATTGCAACACTAATGTGTCATTCATCGACCCAAATGTTCTACGTTCTGACAAAAATAAGAGAAATAAAAGCAGATATTTTACTCATTTACTTTACTTGTGAATAGAAACACCAGGGGGTCGGTGAAGTTTTACAGCAAATGTATTTCATGTTGAAGACAAAAAATAAGGATGTGTCTCTACTCGATTGAAAATGCTTAAAACACAGCTGCCTAGAAGTTTGTCTTCTTGTGAGCACAGTTGTTTCTGTGTGTGCTACTACTTGGCAGATATAAATGCATCTCTTCACATCGTGTTTTGTGAAACTTCAAGTAAATAACTGTGACTTGCTAAAGGTTTTCCGTATTGAATCCGGACCTATTTAAAACCCCAAAACGTCTCCGTGATGAAGCGGTTACTGCAAAGCTCCAACTGCCTAAAACTCTCTAAACACTGCTGTTAATTTACTTCACACTATAGAAAACTAAATAGCCTCCTTGATGGAGAGTGGGGTTGCAGCAGCTTTCTATTCCCTATTTATCTGAGATTAATCACGGATGCATCTCAACATTGAGTGGAAGCTCAGGAGCTTGACTAAAACCAATACGATTGTCCCAAGCTCTGGTATGACAGTAGAGAAAGAGCACGATGAAGTGCTCTACCATTTAGAGAGACGTGTTTGAATGACGAAGGGAATTATTGGTGTTCAGTTCCTTTAAGTACCTTGAGTCTCATCAATCAAAAAGATGAAACATCTGTGAAACAGGAGCTAGATCATATAGTATACACACACACACACACACACAGCAGACAAGATGTGTGATGTGTGTTATTGGCTCCTACTTGTTGTCAGTGTTAAGAAATATGTACTTATTAAAATAGGAAGGATGATCAACTGAAATCTGAAAAATACAATAACATTGTGGGATATGGGGAGTAAAATGCTTTTAGGCAAACACAGTATTTGTGTTTAAAGTCAGTAGAAGCTGACAGGTTTTAAATTAAATCTCGATATAATTAGTCCTCAAATACACTGCCTAAAATATGTTACACTGCGTGACTAGAACAATCACAGACTGAGGGACAATAGGATGTTAAACTATTCATCCTGAACAACACAACAAGGATCTGATAAAGAAAATGCATGCCTGGAGTAAGAAATATTTTTCGCCCAATTATCAGCATGAAAATCAGAGATTTGCAGAGATGTTCTGCACACAACAGTGTCCAGGATCAAACACAGGCTTAGGGATGTGAACACAGCATTACTAAACAAAAACAAATGCCCCCATCATCACAGACAGGACGCCACAGAAGCACCAACTAAAACTGGAAAACATTCTGAGGACTTTGAGAGGACAGACGGACCCACTAGGGGGCCCCAGAGAATAACTTACCCAGAGAGGGCTCACCAAAGACATTGATTATTGTATATATACAGTATATATAGATATATATATATATATAGATATATATATATATCTATATCTATATAGATAGTACTGTATCTGATTGTTTTTTCTGCAATCTGAAAGTGATGAGGTATGTTTAGAATATGCCTTAATTATAATTTGCGAAGGAAACCAAAAAAACATTCACCAGGACAAGGCTGAATGGCCTTTGCAATTAGTCCCAATTAGCAGTTTGTTTGGACTAGTTTAGAATAGTTAATGTAGCAAGTAAATACATGCTAAATTAAAATGATAGGGACTTAACACAGCACTCCTCCACTCGATTAGAAAGCAACAAGAATAGACATTTATAGTGCAAATTCCCACAACATGTGCACAGACACTTAATCAGACAAAATGAACCTGGTGAGCACGTGCCTGCTTTAATCCAGCCTTGCTCATAATACCGTACATTTTATTTTAATAAGCACAGCCTCAGTGTACATTAATCTATCTGGAAACTGAGCAGGTTTACATGTGGATCAGGAGTAATCTTACCTAAACTCTAAATGCCACTACAAAATGCAGCTCAAAAGTGTTTTCCGGACATTGTTATGTCATCCAAATACACTTCCAGTTAGCTACTAGCCACATGGAAGATTACAGTGGAATCTACGACAGGTAAGCAACTCCAATGACAGATTCAAGCAGCCTGAAATATGGTGTAAGTGCGCCACCCGGTGGACACAACTAGTATGTGCAATGAAAAAAAACTCCATTTCTCACATGACTACTGTACGAAAACCTAACTGCCGAAATAAAAACTAACACGCTTGAAAGGCCTCTTAGCAACATATTTATTCCTTCTCGTAGTCGTTCATTTGTATCTTTATGGCATGCGAGCGTATCCCGTTGCAGAAACAAAGCAGGTGAGCTAAATCAGTCGCTAATTAACGCACGCTACATAAACAGCTGCACATTAGCCACAAAACTGGGATAACTATTCCTAAAGCACTCGATACAGCGTTTGAGCGTACTTTAATATCGTCAAAGTTAGTAGCCTATTTAACAGCATCTAGAAAATGACTAATGATGTATCTAAAAAGAAGGGGAAGAGTACGGGTGAGAAAAAGGGCAAGAGAAAGGCCAAAAGAAGAGAAACTTACGCGATGTACATCTATAAAGTTTTGAAACAGGTGGGTGGACCAACACAAAAAAAGACACCGTGCTTTTTATGTTTCGGTTTTCTTACCTTAAAATTTCTTCCAAAAGGTTCATCCGGACACGGGGATTTCGAGCCGAGCCATGAGCATCATGAACTCCTTCGTGAATGACCTGTTTGAGAGGATCGCCACAGAGGCGTCCCGGCTGGCCCAGTACAATAAACGCTCCACCATCACCAGCAGAGAGGTGCAGACCGCAGTGAGGCTGCTGCTGCCCGGGGAGCTGGCGAAACACGCCGTGTCCGAGGGAACCAAAGCGGTCACCAAGTACACCAGCTCCAAATGAGGACTTCAGCGCGACTGGAAGTTGTTGTGACGAGGGTTTCAAATGTTGTGCCCTGGTTTGTTTCCAATAAACATAAGCACAGAAAAAACGATTTTTTTTTTTTTTATCCCCGCCTTTTGCAGGGTGAAGCAGTACCGCGTTCTAACCACTAGATGGAGCAATCGCACATCTTGACTCAGTGTCTTTGACTTAGCAGACCTCATTCTGTACATTACAGCTATAAATGTTCCCATTACAAACTATTATTTGGTGAAATCAACTGCAATGTTACAATAACCCACATGAATCCGTATGATACCGCATCTATTTATATGAACACCTCTATGTATCTGCTCAGTGCTCTAAATCATATCTAGCAATTGGGCTTTTTGACAGTCTGAAAATAAAAGCGTTTTTACGTTTGTTACAAAGGTAATAAAAAGTATTCCCTCTAAGGATTTTTCACAATCTGACTCAAAATATTTCAACTAATAGTTTTACAATAAAGTACCACTGTCGGCATAGCAGAGGACTGTGTGGTAGGTATGGAAGCCCATTTCTACCAGCATAAAATGAAAAAGTACAAACGGCAACACTTTTGGTGCATCCATCTGTAACCATGACACTGACCAGATGTTTCCAGTTGCTGTTCAATGAAGGTTGCCACACATCAGTTTCTTTCTACGCCAGAGCTACATCTTGCTGAAAATCCTTTCAAGGGTGTTTGCTCAGTATAATCCCATAACGTGAAGTATTTCATGTGTTGTAAAACCACGTTTAAAGTAATCTTCAATGTACTCGCAATACATTTATATGTCAAATGAAGGGTAACCTATGAAGAGCTGCTTCTATGACTGGTGTGTTAAAATATCTCATAATTTCTCTTTTTACATTTTTTTTGCTGACGAGAATGGGCTTCCATACTTCTGCAATGATTGAGAGGCTATTAACGTTAGCTACGAAGCTGCTGTTTAAATGTGATGGGAAAGAAGCTCTGAGAGCCAACTGTTACAACCACAACTGATTACAAGTCAAGAAAAAGTGTATTGACTCAAGACAAATAAGTGGCTAACGCTAGCTAGCTAGCGTGTGAGCACTGAATCCGTAATATATAGCTTATGTTTGGGTAACGTTATGTTGTAGCTGCCCCATGTAACGTTAGCTAGCTAGCAATGGTTATGTCATAGGAAGGGCTAACGTCAACACAGGCCAAACCTCAACAACACAAAAACCTCTAAGTGTTGTTTGCCGATGTTTACCGATGTTTAAAACACTTTAGACTTCTCCATGTTTCTATCCAGCTGCTACAAAACAAATATCCCGCCTGCAACAAAAACCAAAAGGACCTTTTGCTGTTAAAACTTGTTTCTCAAGCGGTGACGGTCCAAACAAAGATGGCTACCGGAAGTGAATGTTTTTTCGAAAAATATCAACAGTATAGAATATATAGTTTTTTTATAATAAGGGAAATAGCGCTAATGCATTAAATGAGGATATTGTGTTTCTTAAGCTGAGAAAGGAAAGTATCTAGCAACAAAAAACTGGACAAAAATCACATCCACAGCATATTTTCATGCTACCGTTAGCTAGATTTTAAGTCTTTGAGGGATCTAGAAATGAAAACAGGTGACGTGTTTCAACTTACTTTTTGGTTTTCAGAAAAAAAAAAACTTGCATTGCTCTGACTCAATTGTAATCCTCATCAATAAAGACAAGGAATACATGAGGTAATATTTATTTGAAAATACAGCAATGGTCTGTCATATATATTTTTCACCTCCGATGTCTTTCTCCAAACCTTGACAAGATCCATTATTCAGATCGCTTTAAAAAATGTACATATTTATAAACTAACAGAGGAAATAATGCAACATCGTATCCTTGTTATGCATTCTAATCAGTGTTTTAAAAGACGACACTGTCAACTGAATAGTACTTGATTACAGGATAATGGCACTTGCGTTTGCACCAGTCCAATCTGCATAAAATGGAGGAACTGATAAAGGTCTTTCTAATTAGGACGGTGTTTACATCAGGCTTTACATACACCTATTAGGCTACCCTTGTCAACATCCTACAAAGCCAGGCTCACTGTGATAATGCACTCGGATGCGACTCCCACCGCTGACTGTTATTGTTGAGATAACCATTTTAGATGTTTCCCCGTATTCTTTGTAATGATGTAAAATCTACAGATGTTATTATGAGGGTGATACAGTCCCTGATGGCACTAACTTTGTTCATGATTATCATGGCCATTTAGGTTTTGTATCTTGCACCCTTCCCCATATCCCCTCTCGTGCCCATGCCTGGTGGTAGTCATCGCTGACTCCTTTAGGCAGACTGCTACGAACACATTATGGATGGATGCATTAGTGAGTGATGCAGAGCCCGGGCTGGCTTGCCTTGTTTTCGTGTGAGAGTGCATCATTAGAAAACGTTCCACTTGGCAGGGAAGCGCGTATTAACTGCAACCGCAATGAAATGAGGTTGTGATAGATGGTTAAAGTTATACAGGACTATTAGGTTGAAATATGAACCTCTCAATTGTCATGATGAAACAAAGGGCTATTTGCGTGGTGATCAGTGCGTTGAGAGACAATTGCAATCTGCAAAGACCGATTCAATACAGTATAGGTAGTGGGCTCAGAGCTGAAAGAGTACAGAAAAAGTAATCACGCTTCCACGGAATAGTTTGGAGCTACTGTTCAATTCAAGGCTCTATAAATTCATTTAGGTTTCTCCACCAACATCTCAAGCATCGTGATGAGAACTGGGGGAGATTTGCAAACAGGGCATATTGTCAAAGCCCCGTTGTGGACTCTGATGAGCCATATATATGGAAGGAAACCAGTGATTGACTATCAAAGGCGCTTTAATGGCATTAAGTGTGTGTGTGTGTGGGTGTGTGTGTGTGTGTGTGTGTGTGGGTGTCTACGTTAATGTGTCTGTATGGACTACCAAAGTCAATACGTTATTAGGAAAAATTAGAACAAGCCAAGATGTATATCAGAATCAGCAGACAAAGGCATAACTGCACCAACCACTTTTCCTTCAGATAATGTCGTTAGCCAATTAAGCATGCTCATCATCTCTCATCATGTTTCCATAGTGACCACCGTAGCGAATTCAAACTTCAGACCCTCTTTAACTCCCCCGGTGTGAATAAAATGTGTAAATTGCATATTAATTGCTCTCTTACCAGCACAGACTTGCGCATATGCCAGACAGGATCTGGCCTCCTCTGACGGGAATAACAATAAGTAACACACAGCTCATTAATAAAAGAAACACCTGATGGATAATTGATTGCTCTGATGTCATGGTGGCACTCTCTAAACTTAGAATTCTTTGGGTGCACTCTGTTTCAGATCCAATTGCAAATCCATTAGCATTTAATATTACTGTAATTACTGTGTACATTTCATTATGTTCTCAGTATATTAAATGAGTGCTCAGTGTGGAGGGAGGGCTATAGTTTAATCTCTTTCTGTATTACTGTGTGCCACAGTACTCAAAACAGCATTAAGAGGCACATAATCAGAGGGAACTAATTGCCTATGATTGCATAAATGAAGTACCTCACTCTCATCAGGCCTGTTGCTGATGTCCAGCCCCTCACCGCCTCGGGAGAGGAAGGTTGACCACAAATGTAGAAAACCTCGGAGAGACGGCTTCTGGTGCATAATATGAGGAAACCAAAGATTTAATATGTCCACGGGGGGCTGCGAGGCCAGGGGGTGTTACTACTGCTGATGTTTTTTGTTGTCATCAGAGTTGCCTCCGCTTCACAGAGGAAGGAAGAAGAAAAAAAAAGAAACATGAATGCCTACCATTTGAGAAATGAATTTATCGAAGTCGCTGTCTTTTTCCCCATTAGTAAGTGTTTAGTTCAGCGTTTTAAATAATTGCGTTACCAGGAATGATATTTAAAATACATTTGGGAGTCAATGAGGCGGGAAAGTGCCTACATGTTTTGCTGATGACACCCGGGCCATTTGGAAGACATCAAAGTAGAGAGGAGGTAGCCCAGATGCATATTATAAACTCATTATGTATATCATTTAAAAGGATGTACTCCAGCCGCAAAAACAATATTCCTTGTCTCTCTCTGGTAATGTGTGTTTTCAAAGTTGAAACTCTTACTCGCCTTCAGTTTAATGTGGCATCTATTACCAAACTGTAACATAAAATAAATGACCTTGATTTCCATAGCAGAACAGTCGTTAAGGTATAGATGAGATGCAGCGATGCTTCGGCGTTTTCAAATGGGAAAGAAGGTAACACCTCTGCACAAATATCCCGTATTTCTTCACCTGTGGTGCCGACCTTGTTTTCCACAGAGCTTACATGCATTTTGATGGACTCCAAACACAGAGGTGGATAAACAGACATTAAAATATGAGCGACATTTACACATTGTGTGTCCAACACAGCACATTTTAATAGAAAAGTTAATCAGTCTCGGAAAATCTGGTGTCTTGAGAGTTAAAGGAGGGGACCAGTTTTGCCACTGGATATAATTTTTACCAGCATTTGAAAATGATGGTCCATCAGTCAAAAGAGATGTTTGTCAGATGCCAAGCGAGTAGGCTTAAGAGGCTTAATTATGCGCCGTCCCTCCGCCATCACAACGCTACACGTGGGGCAGAGTGACACAGCGGTTGCCAGTCATTCAGCCTAATGTTCTAATGCAGGGAGCCATGTGGATACATAAAATCCATTAAGGCTCTCGAAATAAATAAATAAAATACTGAGCAGAAAAATACATTTTACTCACAGGGGTTTACAATAAGGGCATTGTCATTTGCAAGAAAAAAGTTAGGACAACATTTGACCTTAAAAGTTGCCCAGATGTCCAAAAGCCAGATATTACTTTTTGAGTTAAGTTTAAAGCCTTGCTGGGAGTGGGAAATATTTATAATACAATGTCTTGACCCTTTAAACTATTGTTGCTCTGAACATTCAGAGTACAAGAGGTAGAAACATATCTGCAATAAGCAGTATGGGATGAACTTTAAAATGCAATGCTACCATATTGTTTTAAGGAAGCAAGTTTCCCATTTGTTTGCTTATTCTAATAAGATACTATGTAATTTCATCAATATATGTTCTATCGCCCCCTAATAAACAGCATGCATGGCAGTTACAAAACATGAGTTTATTCAACTCACTAGATACTTGCAGCCTGACAGAGACACTTCATGGCTCTAACTTTGCTGGAGGCAAATAGGAGAGGCTCAAGTGGCTACATGTGAGACATAAAAATAGCATTACTTGTCACACTCCAGGGAGGGTCTCATACCGAATAACAAAACAACTCTGTGAACCAAACCTGTGAACAGCCGGCAGGCACATAGTGGACATTAGCCAGGGAGAAAGAAACAACAACAGAAGCAGAGAGACAGGCCTCCCTCATCTAATCACAGATTAGTTTTGCCACTCACACAAACTCTTCTCTCTGTAAGAGGTAAAACCTGCAGCATGGCGGGAGGTAGCTTTGTCTTCACGTCCACGGCCTTGCGCTCTCTCGAACTTGATAAAGACAACATGCTGGAGAGACAAAAGTACAAGAAGCAGCTGGCCAGCCATCACTTCAATCGCTATATGCTGAAGAAGGAGCTCAGGGAGAGGGCACCGCTGAGGTCCAGCACTTTCGTGCCACCAGCTGTCTGCCAAGATGCGATCGTCCAGAACGCTCTGTACACGGGAGACCTGTCGGCCATGCAGCACCTCTTTCCTCGAGGGTCCACAGCAAACCTCATCATCGAGCCACAGGGAGGGGACATGCGCTGGGTCGCCACAGGGGACGGTAAGAGACAACATTTGTCATTCATTAGATGTATTAATTCAGGAATTTATATGGTTTGCACAGCTATGTGGCTTTATTTTATTTCCTGGAGATCAGCATCCAAAATGAACAAAAGTGAGAGACATTACTTATAGGTTGTTGTGCAAAAAAGTGAATTTACTGCTTTTAAAACTTTGAAATGCAACTGCAAGCCATGTGTCACCCTGAGCCAGTATTTAAAGAGACAGTGATGTGATATTTATAGAAAAGAGCACGAAGCAATATTTATAGAAACTATCATTTGTCCACCACATAAACAAACTCAAGAGGTGCACTCAGTTGAGGCCTATCACTGAAGACAGACTAACATTTTAAGACAGTTTTGGCTTGCTGAGTCCCTGGAAATGAATGATCAAGACTCCAAGTTAAAATGTTGTATGGACACATAACAATAATGGGCCTTTGCAAAACTGGATGTTACTAAAAATCATTTAAATTTGAAAAACAATGTATTTCCCCTGAACTTCTTGAGCGCAAGAGAGCATTGTCCTGTGAGCTCAGGGAATTAGCTGAATCAGTGCGCAGGTGAGATGTAACACACCAGTCATTGGCCTCCAGGCCACTGCACTGGCCAAGCTAAATATCAAATAACACCACCCTAAAATAGCCCCATCTGCACAAACAACCACCATAAGCGCCTATTTCCTTCAGGATAAACCAGCCTACTAAAACGTAAACAAACAATCTAGTCAGCAGCCATAAAGTATGGCTTACGCAGCTCCGACATTTAAGTGGCACAAACCAAAGAAGTACCGCAACGACGTGATCGCCACGGCCAAGGCCTCGGGTTGTGTGCTGCAGTTCTGGAACTCTCTGAATGTGGGCGATGAGCGGACGGTACTCAGCATCGTGGACGACGACGAGTACGTGTCCCTTATCGATGCCATTTATGACACCAGCAACATCGAGGAATGGAAGAACTTCAGATTTAACTACGGAGGCCTGAGTAGGTTTATCAGAGCTTTGATTGTTAAAGTTCATGGTCTTTCTTTTTTATTGCGTGTTATAGAGGGCTACAGGGATGACGTATTTTTGTAGGCCAACCCCGAAAGTTAGCGCAACACTGGTTCCCTCAACGTCAAGAAGCCAGTGGAATGTGAATGTGAAACGTTGGGCTTTAAACAAACTACACCACGGTCGATTGAGCACCAGTAAACACAATGAGGCTGTGGAGGCGGACTAGTCGGTGTGGTGACATTTTGTTGTCTCATTTAGCCACTTGTTAGCAACCGTCTTTTTTAAGAGACGATAAAGCTTCAAAATTCACGTGCGGGACATTTACTGACGTATTTTATGTCGTAGAACAAAACGTTAAAATCTCTTAAGCTTGTGTTAACCGCAGACTTTATTTTTGGCATCCAACCAAAAACCCATTCAAAAAAAACATTGAATTCGAGTCGAGGGAACAGGAAGTGCAAAAATGCTGACTCATTCCTGCAGCACTCTGTTGAGTATTTTGAGTGTTGGGAAGAGTCATTAAAGCATTAATACTTGAAAATGTTATGAAGTATGTTCTAATTGCTAATTGCTGCTGGGTTGAGGCCAAAGTTGACTTAATATTTTACTCTCTGCTGCTGGCAGGACTTTGGTCACTGAGTTATGAGCAGGAGCTGACCACGCCGCTTCACATCACAGCTAGCCGAGGCTTCACCGACTGCCTGAGACTCCTGCTGCAGCGCGGGGCCGATGTAGACCTGGCACCGGAGGGCACCACCGCCTTGCACGAGTCCTGTGAAAACTGCCAGCCAGAGTGCACCAAACTGCTGCTGATCCATGGCGCCAACGCCAACGCGGTCACAGAAGAGGGCTTCATGCCTCTGCACTTTTGCACAAGCCCCGAATCCCTTGAGTGAGTAAAGTAGAACAAATGTAGAAAAAAGTAACAAGCACAAGAGGAGAGTCAATGAATCAGTGAATTTACTCAGTAAAGTCAGTTATACTGAGCATTTTTCTAACATTAGTTAACATTAGCCGTCATGAGCTACTGGTCATACCAGACTCAAGCAAGGGCGGATTTATTGAGCACAATTCAACTTTAATAAGAAGACGACTGTGTTATACATAATCAGTGAAACACAATATCTAACCAGAGTTTGCTAACATTAGCCACCATCAGCTAAGTTACTGGTCATGACAGACCAAGACAGGCCGTAGCAGCAAAACTTCCGAGTGGATTGAATTGAGCAAGAGTGCATTTATTGCAGATCAATCCAACTTTTCTAAGAGATAAGTAGTCTCACTGTAACACCACCGGCATCCTGTTCAGGGTGCATCAAAACTAGCTAGCAGGCCAACAGAGAAGAAAGTGGTGAATTGGATCTAGCTGAAAGTGCTGGAGAAATGCATGAAATGTGGAGTTTCTGCCTCTCAAAGTGATACAACGACTCCTGTGTCTTTGTGATACAAAGACCTAGCCTAGACATCAACAAATTCAGGATAATGCCTTGTAAGAATGTAACTAATATCGATATCCGTGTTAAATGATATCCGGTTTAAAATCAACTTAAATGAAAACATTGGAACGTGGCGTGTGGTGTTGATGAAGGGGTACTTCATCTGGTAAAAATGGTGGGGACAACTGATCTCATGTTTATGTGGGAATACAACTTGCTAATTCTTTCTGCAGATGTGCCAAGAATCTCCTGCAGTATGGAGCAGCGATCAACGGTCGCACTCTCAATGAGAGTGACACTCCCTTACACGTGGCAGCCAGCAATGGCCTCCCAGACCACACCGAGCTCTACCTGCGCTACGGAGCCGCCGTGGACAAACGGAACAACGAGGGTCTCACGCCCCTGATCGCTGCCTGTTCACAACCCCAGGAGGTGCAGGAGCTCGAGCGGTACTTCAAGGTGTGCCAGATGCTGCTGGGGGCCGGGGCCGACGTGCACACCGTGGACCAGGACAAACGCACGCCTTTGCACATGGCCTGTAAGAATGTAAACCCAGACATAGTGGACCTGTTGCTGGCCAACGGAGCTTGCGTTAACGACATGGAGTACGGCGGTGAGGCGCCCATGCACAACATCCTGAAGGTGGTGTGCTACAAGCTCTCCCATCAACCCGAGAGGATCGTCCGTGCTCTGCTCAACCACGGTTCTATCCGGGTGTGGCCTGGAGCTCTGCCCCTGGTAGGAAATCAAAAGATACGTGTTATTAAAAAAAATAATAAAGGATGCATTCCATATCAGCTAAAGCATTCCACACTGGTTTGAACTAGTATGTTGTATTTTAAGCATGAACCAATTATTCATCAATTTTGCATAATTAGCATACACATGTAACACCTTGAGAAAGAGTCTTGAAACACTAAATTGTTCCTTGCAATATTCCAGCCTTCACAACTTCACATTCAAATCATTCCCATTTCATGACACAACATGAAGTGTTGCACTCTGCGGGAAACAGACTACAACCATCAGTGAACCCACGTGCACTCGACAAAATGCCTGGTTCCTAATTAGGCAAGTGTTAATAGGAGATTAATTAGCACTAATTGCATAATTTCCAGTTAAACCCCTGGAGGGAAGACCAATCTGTTCATTTCACAAGTGTTTAATTACTTTATTTCTTCAGTTCTATGGAGTCACAAGCTCGCTCATGAACTTAAATGATGATTATATGAATCTGTGCTCTGTGTTGTGGTGTTTCTTGGCAGGTTTTGAAGCACTGCTGTGGATCTCCACGCACCATCGAGGTCCTGCTGAACGCCTACAGTCACCTCAAAGTCACAGACGCCTGGGTGGAGTCAGTGTCATCGGAGGCGTTTAAGGCAAGTTTGTTAAATAATTAATTCATGAAGTTAGACCCGTGTGGGTGTTTTAAGACAAGACAAATGTTTTTAGATTTGAAAAAAAAATGATGTTATATATTTAGATAGTGTCGTTCATCTCTTCTTCAATTTCTTTATGGTATTTACGTGGACAAATAATATCGACTGATCTCACCTGTGATTTTGTCTCACCAGGAGCACAAAGAGTTCTATGAGTCCGTCTTCTCGTTGGAACGGACCCCTCGCTCCCTGCAGCACTTGGCACGCTTCAAGATCAGGATCTTCCTGGAGGGCCGGTTGCACAAGGTGGTCCCTAAACTGGATCTGCCCACCTTCATTAAGAACTACCTGCTCCTGGAGTACAGAGACTATGTCCACTGAAAGTGTTGGTGTGAGTCCCGATGAAGACCGAGTGCTGCCACATGTGAGGAAGGCGCAAATAAGTCAACATCATAATTAAAGTAGTGGCTCCAACTGTAGCAGCAGTACACTTATTAATATGTTTAAATACACATTTCAGGATGAAGAAGCAGCTGCTTGTTCTCGTGTCACTTTTATTCCAGTTCGAGCTACACATTTGATTTTGCACCACAAGAGGGAGCTATAGACTAGACTTGATAAAATACATGGCAGGTAATGTGTTTTATATTTTAATATATATCACCTTTCTTTTCTTTTTCACTTCTTCACTTGATAGTAAAGAGGCTCAGACGTTTGTGTTTTTATACATAATAATTATTGCAGTAGTGTGATGCTAATGAGCATAATAATCATGTGTTGTACATTGAGGATTGCCTTAGAATATTTGCATAAATAATTATTCCCAAAGGTATTATTGTAATTAGGCTTTTTCTGTCAAAAATAGTCGTGATGTAAAATGAAATATTCCACCATGGCCATGTGATCTAGTCACTGCTCTTTTTTTATTTCCTGTTTTACATTTCTCTCTCTTTCTTCTATCGTGTTTCTGTCGTCTGTTGCTGTCTGTCGTTTTTTTTAAATATACTCTATAGGTTTCTATATTAATGAAAGAAAATACATTTGTTGTTAAACCAGATTGTATGTTGTCAAACTAAACTTTAAATATAAAGCACTTTAAAAACAAGCTGAAACAACATTAAATCGTGCGGAATAACGATTGAAATGTGTGCTTTTATCAAGAGGTTGTGATAAAGTGATTGACCTGGTCACATGATTCAGAAATTAAAAAACGACATGATTCAGGAAGTTGCACCTGTCTGTCAGTCTCTCACAGACATCTTCGAAGAAAACGTTAAGTTGGAGGAATTATGGTCACATGTTAATTATCTGCTGACTTAATTCAATTAATTTCATAATGTCACTTCTTATGACAATAAAAACATATATATTTTGTTATAACAGGCAATTTGAGGCCTACTTAACACCAGAAATAGATTGAAATTATAAATATTCTATATGAATCTAAATTTGATTTTGTCATAAAAAGCGTGACAAAAAATAAATAACAGTTAATAAATAGTGTAAAGAGGAGCTGAGTAAGATCAGAGTTCCTCTCAAAGAAGAAAAGGAAGAGGAGCTGAGCAAATGCTTTCAATAGATCAGAGAGAGGTGCTGCTGGAGTCACTTGCAATTATAAGAATTAGCCTGGCCGGGCCCTCCACTGCTAATCAGAGTCGGTGTGATATGTTTATGTCCTCGTGCAATCAGGCGACCAGTTGGAGAGCCCGGGCACCAGGACTCAATAGGGCTAATCATCATCAGCTCCCATTGCCATTTAAAAGGTGAAATGATCTGCGATTAAACCACTCCTTAAAGAAAAGAAAAGAGATTTTTTTGTATCTCTTTGGATCAGGAATGCATTACAACTCCCTGAAAAAAACGTGTGTATTATTTAATTATATATATATATATATATATATATATATATATATATAAATATAAAACGTTGAGGGATGATTTAGCTGACAGCAGATCGGTGAGAGACGTTAAAAATTTATCATTCACAGCTTTTTAAATACACCCCCCCAATCGAGTTCAAACAACGTGGAATCACTCAAATTTGACTTTGGCCACTATGTGTCCGTGCCCACACTGCAGTTGACCTCGCATAAACGCCTTTTATCTGAATCTAATTTCGCACTGGAGTATCTCTCTCCAGGGAACAATTGTTGCGGAACTTCTCTCTCTTCTTTTTTTCACTCTCTGAAGCCGAACGCATTGTTTTTAGCCGCGGAGAATGGGACAGAGAGCGGAGAAACATCTGCCTCTCCTCCCTCCCGACTCTTGATGCCCATCGGCCCCAATATCGCAACAAAAGCCACCGTTGTTTTACGCTGTCCCTTGAATCCAGAGTAATTACTTATCATCAATCAAAATTAATAATAGCTGATTGGGTTGGTGTGGTCAACGATTATAGAAGGGGAAGGGCTGGAGCAGTCTCTCACACCGTTTTGCAGTCAATGGTGAACCTGGCAAAAGGGGAGGAGGGCTTGGAGAGGGGTGGTTGGGGGGTGCGACCCGTCTATTTGGTCTCCACTGGGAAACTACCGCCTCTCAGGACGGCCAAAGAGTCAGAGGCTGAATAAGGAAATGAAGCGTAATTTGAGGAAGATGGATGAGCCCCAAGGGAAACACCCCCTTTTCATTCCTCTTGTATTGCAGATGATAACCAATGCGCTCTCGCCCTCTCTCTCTCTCTCTCTCTCTCTCTTCCGCGCGCGCGCGCACATACGCACACATCGCAGAGGGGCGGGGGGAAGTTGGATAGATAGAGAGAGAGCGTGTGTTTATGTCTGAGTGTGTGACAAATAAGAGGGAAAAGGTAGCGGTGGGGCTCACAACAAAGCGCCCGACCGCCTGACGCATATAGAGCGCGGAGATCCGGAGCAGCAGTCCACAAACCGGGGATGACAGCACGGCAGAGGATCTACTTTCCATCAACTCCGTCTTTGCACTGAAAGTTTTGCGCGTCGCCGAGGAAAAAGGACACCTGCCTCTAAGTTTCCACAATATAAAAAAGTGATTTGCCTGCAAAAATGCAGAGACCAGGCCAAGGGACGGCGTTTTCAATCGATTCCCTGATAGGGACTCCACATCCCAGACCGGGACACCTGCTCTACACGGGCTACCCTATGTTCATGCCGTACAGACCTTTGGTTCTTCCACAAGCTTTATCCCACTCGTCTTTAACGTCCGGTATACCTCCACTCACGCCTTTGGCTTCTTTTGCGGGACGGCTCACCAACACGTTCTGTGCCAGTTTGGGACAGGGGGTGCCGTCCATGGTGGCGCTCACCACGACGATGCCAAGCTTCTCGGATCCTCCGGACAGTTTCTACCCACCGCAAGAACTCCCAGGTCCCCGTTTAAGCGCCGTGGACCCCGGAGCGAGACGGCAAGAGAGTCCGCACACCGATGAGCTGCGCAGCCGGGACAAGGGCTCCGAGCTGCTGAACTTCTCGGAAACTTTTCAAACAATATCAGGTAAGCTTGGCCTCATTACTTATTTATGGTATTTTTATTTTTTTATCAGACGCAAAGCCTCAAGGCTGTCGCGTAAAAGAGTGACCGTTGTGCGTAAAATGCGTTAAATCAGAGGTTGTTGGCCCATGGAGAAAGTGTTTGGTCTAAGAGATGCCGGCAACATTTACAACGAAAAGTAAAAGCCATCTTACATGAGTTTTGCCACCGTGGCAGAGTGACAGAAATATTAATGATATAAATGAATGAGGACAAATTCATGGGGATGCAGCCTGGTGACAGTTACACCCTGAAATCTGTCGTTCCAGATACATTTATTATTTGTTATTGACATGAATTCTGAATTGTTCTTCATACTATTATAACAAATTGCAGGGCATGTTTAATAACGTTTTTAGGACACTTCAGTGGAGTGATTTTTTGCAGGAAAGTGAAATGAAACCTCTTTAGTTGTCAGAAACCGTTGCATTGAAAACTCACAGGGCAACACTGTTAAAACACAGGACAGCTGTAACAAAATAGGCCCAAAAGGAGTTGAGTTTACGTTGCTACTCTCCCAGCATACTAAAAAAACACCATGATTGATGTCTAACGTTTGTGAGACGGTTTTTTTTTGGGGGGGGGGGGGGGCTCGCAGACTCAAGTGACTCAACGTGGATGTGTGTTTGTTCTTTTATTTTAAGGTGAGACCAAACTGTACAGCTCTGACGACGAGAAGCTGGACCTCAAATCGTCCGCGGACACCGCGTGCAGCGACCGAGAGGACAGCTCCGTGGACAGCGAGAACGAAAGTTTCTCGGACGGCAACAACTGCGGCTCGCTGTCCCAGAAGAGCAAACTAAAAGCCGGCTCGCAGGAGGCGCTGCCGACCGGCAGCTCGGCGGGGAAGAGCCGGAGGAGACGAACAGCTTTCACCAGCGAGCAGCTGCTCGAACTCGAAAAGGAGTTTCACTGTAAAAAGTACCTTTCTCTGACTGAGCGCTCGCAGATCGCACACGCGCTCAAACTGAGCGAGGTGCAGGTGAAGATCTGGTTTCAGAACCGCAGGGCCAAATGGAAACGGATCAAAGCCGGCAACGTCAACAACCGGTCGGGAGAGCCGGTGAGGAATCCCAAAATCGTGGTCCCCATCCCCGTGCACGTCAACAGGTTCGCTGTGAGGAGTCAGCACCAACAAATAGAACAAGGGAGCAGGCCATGAACTCAGATGAAGATCTAAAATATTATTATTAATAATAATTAAAAAAAACACTTACAATGACTCTATCTTCCACTGATTCGTTGAACGCATGAAGCACAAACATGGAGGATTAGATTCTTTTTGTATGAGAGGTGAGGCTGAGCAGAGGGTTGCTCGCAGACAGATCAGTTATTTGGCAATATGCTGTCATTTTTTATTTATTGCTGTGAATATGTAAATATAAATGGATAAAAATTGGTACAAATGGGCACTATGAGATGAGACTGTAAAGATTTTTTTTAAGTATTTATATGTTGGGCCAAAATGTTCAGTTGGTTATGTGCATGTCCTCATTTGGTGAAGCTGAATTTTTGTTTTGTGTTTCGTACAATTTGTTGACCACATTTGCATGTAAGACGTTTTACATTTTGTTTGGCAACTGGAGGAACCACCTTTGCCAGCCATTTGTGGACAAAAAAAAAAAGAAAAGATGTGAAGGAAATAATGACCAAACAAGGGACAACTGTAAAGTATATTGACCTAATAAATCGCTTTATACGAAAGTTGGAATCCAGATTGAATTATTATTGTTTAGAGGGCAGAGTAAAAATGTTTTTATGTTCGCGAAAAATGTCGAGGAGTTATTTTATCCAGCTAAAATGAAAAATAATATGTAGCGACGAATGTAGTACAGACTGCAGTCAGGCGGCTATTTTGATATTATTAACACATTTTAAATAAAATAAAATCCTAAAGATATTATTCAAAATGACATAATGAGAAAATCTTTCCATATAATTTCAACATTTATGAAGTATTTCACTGAAAAAAATGAAAGATTCAGCGTTGCAACTGAAAAGTTCACACACATGTGAAGGTGTTATTTGATGCAGTATCGTAGCTTCGTTTACACTCGTGGTGGTTCTAATCACTTCATTTTATAAATAGTTTTTTCCTGAATACAGCAGCCTAAATTGATTTCTCTTCAGGAGGCCATGTTGTCTCAAGTGGACTGATGGATCCTCATGAGACTGAGAACATTCAACACACATAATGAACTTATCTATCAGTCACAGACCCAAACCGACAGCAGCCATTACTAATCTGTGAGCGACACACTCTATTTTTGGGGAAATAATAATAATGGACTCTGCAAAAATGTAAATCAAGACGTGATTCATAAAGACCCGTTAAGAGGCATAAAATACATTTAAAAAACTCTCAAAAGAGGATGATGTTGTTTCTGTGGATTCAGTACTTTTCTTAAATAATGTGTCATTTTCTTTATAGATATAGATTTCTAGCAAAATGTAGTTTGATATTTACTTAAAACACTGACACCTGTAGATAATTCTTACAAAATAAAAGTCTAGATTTAAGTTTGAATGCCCCAGAATAAAATAAAAAAGATTCTTATTATTACAGATAAAGGAACACTTTTAAAAATGTCGGTTTTTAAATAAATATAGACTCCCATAGCTAATAAATAAAATTGGAACCAATGACTATTTACACTTACAGACCTCATCTGCAAAGATGGTGACATAGGCCAATACGGAAACTTACATGGCAAGGTAAAATCATAGAGCTGCAATATTCAAATCATCTGTAACTAAAACAGTGTTTAGCCACATAGCTATCCATTTACAGGAAGGGGAAAACAGGGCTCAACGTTTCATGCAACCCTTTATATGCATTCTTTTTGTGGTTTACGTGGTTTCTCTGAAGTGTTTCCAGAAACTTCTCATGTTGAAATAATTTCACTTCTGCTCAGATGAGAGACACTGATTGGTTTCCCGTTTCCAAAATTGACTCAGGCCTCATGTTAAAGCTACTGCAGCAGCACCTGTTGAAGTATGATGATAGGGCAAGATGCCTCACATATTGTATTCTTGTATTAAATATAAATATGGAGGGTTTGTGGAAAAAAGAAAATGCTGAATACAGCAGGAAGCACATTATTATCCAACATTATATTTCCCTGAGGCCTCTCATGGAACACACACACACACACACACACTCAACATGATTTGTATCTCAATTTGACCTCAGCACTCAAACAGACACTTCGTGACCAGGGCACCCATGAGTAGTAAAGTTTATTCCACCGTCTACCTCATATGTCAAGACTGTGACACTTGGATGGGGATTCAAGGAGCGATTGGTCATGTGAAGGAGCCGTGGAAGTGTTTATTATGGTCCAAGAGCTGACTAATGCAGACGGTCAATTCCACGACATTGTGCCAGAGTGCAACGGCTATTTCGGCTCCAGTGAGGTGACGACGAGGAGCCATGACACAGCTCAGAGGCAAAGGTCATGGTGGTGGTTGTGAGCAGGATCCTGAGTGGGACTATTTTATTACTCCAAAGTGAGGAGAATCATTAACTAAACAGCTGACATCTTATAGGATTTGCTATCACGATATCATGTTACTGTATATTCGGCGATAGCACATCTTGTGAGCGTGTTGTGAATTTGTTAATCGTTTTAGGAGTTTTAATAATTCCTCTTCCATGACAGCTACTCTGTAAGTGAACACCTCAGTCTCAAGACAGCATCTGTATCCTTTTACCATTCTGCTACTTGAATCACAAATTGAAATATCAGAAGTTCTCTCCAGTGAAGACATTAAACCATTTCCACGTTCCCACCTGGAGACACAGAGAGAGAGAGAGAGAGAGAGAGAGAGAGAGAGAGAGAGAGAGAGA